CGGCGAGAAGCTTACGTGACTTCGCTCAGCTCTAAACTGCAGCATAACGCCCGCTAATTTCAGCAGTGAGAGGGAGAGGAAGTGTCCTCCGAAAGAGCGCACGGGAACCTACACAGCACCCCGAATTACGTCACTAGGGGTGCGACCAGGTGTGACCCTGAAGACTGGGAGTGAGTTGAGGGGTGCCAGAAAGGCCAATATTTATCTTTCTTTTTTTTTTTTTTACACAACTAGGACACAGAGGCGAGATCGGTTTTCTGTTCTTTACTTCAGAAGTGTCAGAGGGCAATTTCCAAAAAGTTTTGACCGAAGTCCGGTAATCGTTGCACCCCCCCCTTTACCTAGGACCCTAGGACACTGTCGGTGTCATGCCCTCCACTAATACATACGACAAAATGTAACCCCAGAACCGTGTGCTCTGTATGTTCAAAAGACTTTGTGCATGCTGCTGTCATCTTGTGCTTGCGCTAAATGGTTCTTGTTGAAGCCTACATGAAACGAGGGGTCGCACCTCTTTGTTGCGGCGGCAGGTGTACAAATGTCACTTACCATCGGTACTGGCTTTGTAATCTCATCTGGGATGCACCCACAGTTCTTCGTTAGCATTGCCTTCAAAGCAGGTGGAAGGATGCACCTGGCACTTTTAATTAGAACCACGCTGACAAGTGAAACGACGGTTATTTGATTGGAGAGGCGCTGACAGCAGCATTGGGTTTGAGGTGCGGCAAGAGCCAGGAACAAAGAGGAGTTGTTGGGAAGAAAGAGTTGGGTATCTACCTTGCAGAGGTGCCTTACTTTCTGCCCCTCCTTAGAGGGCAACTAGCCATCTCAGTTTACTCCTAAATTGTAAATTTTCTCGTGGGAATGCTGTTTCTTTTTGTTTCAGTCATGGTTTCATAGAATTTACTTCAGCACCTTTGGTATGGACCTACTAACATTTTGTACCATTTCTGCTATTTGCGCGGTGACACCAAGCATTGCAGTTTTTTTTTTTTTTTTTTTTGGTAGCTAGCTTGCGTTTAAACTGAGCTGTAGAAAGTTTTACTATATAATCTGTCACTTCTAAAATACTGTGACTCGAAAACCACTCTGTATCTCTCCTTTAAAGAAAAAGAAAGTTGCCTCGTTATTTATTAGCACAGCTATTGGGCAGCGAATAGAAAGATTTCTGTCAATGTGGAGCTTGAAATTTAGGTAACAAACCACACCTTTTTGGTTATTTCGTATACACCTTGCGCATTTCTTTTCCTTGCAGTTTGCTCACTCTTTGGCATGCCTACGCACTGCGTTTTGTTGTAGTATTTATTTAGTACCGATGTATCTGTGTTTGTAGATAGTATGTCCGTAATACTGTTCACATGTCGTACGCAAATTAACCTTCAGCGTTAGCATCGCTTTAAAGCATATCTTGTTCATTGATCAGAGGAAGCACCCTTTCTATTGATGCATCCTTTTGTTTAACCGCGTCAGTTATCTGTACGGGGTTCAGCCACCTCGGTGGTTCCGAGGCGAGAGCGCCGGCCTACGGATCCCCAGGTGGCGGGTTCGAATCCCGACCGAGGTGCCCGCAATATGACGGAGGCTTATTGCGGAGAAGGCGCCGTGTAACCGAGCTTTCGGTTGCACGTCAAAAGATCCCCAGGTGGTCGAAATTAATCCTCAGTCCTTCGCTGGGGCGTGCCAGATGCCCGTCGTAGGTTTGGCACGTAAAACTCCCAAATTTGAATCTGTACGGGGTTCGGGGGAAGCGAAGTGGGACAAAACACCGTCCCACAAGTACGCTGGCGGGACAGTGGGACCACGGCCGGAAATGCGGGCCCGCCTGAATCGAGACGTCTGATCACTTTAGCTTGCCGCTTGTGGGAAGTATCTCGGGGACATACAGGCTTCTTTTCACGCGTTTTTGGTCTATGCATCCGTCAGGGGGTACTCCTGCATTGACGCTTGCTTCATGGGCATTTTGTCGTAAGAAATTTTCGTTACATGGGAAACTGATCAGAATTGGTTTTTGTTTCACGCAAAACTTGTTAGAATGGGTTGTCGTTTCATGCAAAACTTGGCAGAATGAACTGTCGTTACGTGGGAAACTTCTCAGAGTCGATCGTCGTTTCATGCAAATCTTGTCACAATGAATTGTCGTTTCATGCAAAACTTGTCACAATGAATTGTCGTTTCATGCAAAACTTGTCGCAATGAATTGTTGTTTTATCCAAAACTTGCAAGAACGGATGGTTACATCGGAAAGTTGTCAGACCGGTCTGTCATGAGTTGGTAAACTTCTGAGTGAATTGTAGCATAGGAAACTTATCAGAATGGACTGTCATCAGGAAATGTGTTTGCATAGAAATTATTAGCGACACTATTGTGGAAGAGGACCTATTCTGCGGTATTAGTAATGAAAAACATCAGAAAAATCAATTTGAACCGCCGGCAAAATTAGTGCCATGTTTTCGTGATTTTCGTTCGGTGGATTCCGCGTAGAAATGCAGCTCCGAAAACTCTCAATAAAAGAGAGAACTTAATTCAAAGTGGAAATGGTACTCTCACGAACCTTTGGGAATTGCCGTTTGTGTTCAATTAATTGTAGCTCTTCAGTGTTCCACGTCGGTTTCTTTTTTTTTTTTTTTTTTCTCTGGTGGCTATTGAGAGATTCGTGTGGAAGCGGGTTCGTCTAGCGCTTGTTCCTTTCTTATTTTTTCGTGTTATAAGACGCGACCTTTGAGACGCGAAGTCAACACACCGCAGTGAAACTATGTTAGCTGCTCTTTTTTTTTTTTTTTTTGCTTTTGTGAACGTTGTATTGGGAACACCTGGAATTCCAAAATTGGACAATATGGGGGAGGAGTAGGGGGCGTGCAAAGAAAGAAAACGACAACAAAAAAAAAATTATAAAGAGCTTATCCAAAGGTCAGAGGTCTGTTATGATGGAGAGCGAACAATGCGATGACGCGCTCCATTTAACTTTCGAAATCACGAATATATATGTATATATATTAAATTTTTTTAATACTTTTCTGTTCTCACATCAAAAGCTGTGGTAAAAAAAAAAAAAACAAAAAAAAAAAACGGTCTTTTTGCATAGCGCTATTCCCCCCCCCCCCCCTCCCTCTCTCTTTTTTTTTGTTTTCCTTTTGGGGTGATATAAATATGCTGTCCTTGACGTTTCAAATTCCAGTAGCGTTGTCTTCCTCTCTCCGTCAGTCCAATGTTACAAGAACTACTATGCTCAGCGTATGAACACCGCGCAAAACCCGAGGCACCAACAGTTAGCCGATCCTTCCGATACCTCCGATAACAGTACACACGATACAATGCATGCCCAAAGGCGTCGGCGGAATCATTGGATCGGTCTGCTAAAACTCCTCCCGACTGACCTTTTGCCTTGAGTTACCCAGGCGTAAAAGAGAATGCCGGGAACGTAGGTAGGCACGCTCTGCGCATGCAGCAGTAACTGTTCGAAAGCGAAAGTCGAAAACAAATAGACTTCGCACGTGCGTTCTAAAGACGCCTTACTTTGGTTATTTGCTTCGGATATTTTATGGAAGTAAGGCGAGCGCGTGTAGCTACGTTCCCAGCATTCTCTTTGGTGCTTGTGTTATATAGCAAAAAGGTCTATTTGAGGTTGGCTTATAATTGTTCCATTTGCTCGTGCTGCAGTTTGTGCGTCTGCGTAAAAAAGAGTGTTTTGTCTCGATTGTTCTTTTTGCAAATGAACTGCGTCGACAGCCGGGAAGCTGCGGTCAGTTTTCGCCGCCGTGCTTAAGTTTTGCAGACCACTCGACACTGAGATGTCATGACATCACGGGAAACCGTGACGTGACACTGAATTCCGGTGATGACGTTTAGCGGGCCACGACACGAAACACACGAGAGATCCACCTCGAAACGTCGCCAGGAACTGCTCTCACCGCACGGAATAAAAAAAAAAAAAAAAAAAAAAAGGTGGAATGTGCAAGGACGCTCGAACCAGCTGCTCGCGGGGGAGAAGAATTGTAGTCGCAAGGCGGCGCAATCTGACGAATGACGGCTGCGGTTATTTGTTCTCTCTCGAGAAGGCTGCGAGTGCAAGGACGGGCGGCTGCTGGCAAACATCTGAGCGCGTCGTTCTCGCGATCAGCTGTTTGCGAGGGAGGCAAGATGTGCGGACGCCGCACAGCAGAAAGTTGCACCGTGTCGGAATGCGGGCTGGCTCGGGAGCGGTCCCCTCGGCCATGGCTTCGAACCGGGGGGCGAGTTTCGACTCCTTGCGTCATCATCGCGTCGTCAATGTTACGCGTGGAAGGGAGGGAGAATTTCTGTGGCGGGAGGAGAATGCTTGCGCGTAGCTTTGAGACTTTTTCTGTTGGGTCGGGTTTCGGGGGGAGGGGGAATGTAGGTAGTCAACAACCTGTATTGCAAGGAAAGGGAGGGGGGGGGGGGGGGGAGCGCGGGGGGCCGCTTGAACTTTACCGTGACCCTCCTAGCGGAAAGGAAGGGGAGGGAGAGCTCCTGCCGGTTTATTTCTTGTTTTAAATAGACTCGATTCGTCGGTTCCTTGCTGCATGGGGGGTGCAACCGACGAATCGAGTGTGCAACGCATTGTAAAGCCCCCCCCCCCCCCCCCCCCCCCCCTTTACAGTGCGTTGCATAAACTCGCAGCTTGCCAGGTGTGCCCAGGAAAAAAAAACAACCCGGGTTTTCTTTTTTTCGTCGGTGGCAGCAATGTTTGCTTTTTTTCATTCACGCACTTCCGTACTACATCGGCCTCAGCACCCCCCCCCCCCCCCCCCCCCCCCGCCCCCTTTCCCCCGGTCCGCGTAGTGTGTTGAGGGTGCGTCGTCGTTGGCGCGCAGGCAGGTAGAGCGAGCGCGGCGGCGGCCGCGGGGAGCCCGAGTCCCTGACCTTAGCGGAACAAAGGGGAAGGCATCCTTGGCAGGGTGCGCTCGCGACGACGACGCCAGCATCGGCCTCCCCCCGGAGCCCCGGCGGTGGAACGGTCCGCGCGGCCCGCGTTCGTTGACTCGCCGGAGAGAGGAGAGAGCGGCTCTTCTCGCCACAGTCGGGCAGCGCGCCATGTTGTAGGGGCTGCACGCGTGCTGCCTCGTCCCGTCGTCGCGTTCGGCCGGCCATGAGCAAGGCGAAAACCCTGCCTGCCGTCGTGTCGCACCACTTGTACGCGCAGCCGACGACCATTGCCCTGTAAGCATTGGGGGGGGGGGGGATGTGATGGTGGTGTGGTGTGCCTCGGTGCCGGTGTGTGGCCGGCCTCCTCTTGCCAGTGCGGAAGGCGATCCCGTGCCTCTGTTGTGCGTTCGCGGTCTGCTTGGACCGCCGCCACGTCTCGCTCTCTTGGATTACTTCCTGCCCCGTTGAGGAGGGGGCGACCGTGTTCCCCCTTTGAGTCCACGAAGGTGCGGGGGACCCGCGAAGAGGGGCCTGCCTCGAAGGGACGACGTCCTACCCCGAAAGGAAAAAACGGGACGTCTATGTTCCGTTTTTGTGTGCTGGCCTCGGGTCGCTCCTGTCGCTGCTCTCCGCACACGTCGGTCGGCTGACAGGTTTGTGCGGCCCGGTGCTTGCTGCTGCCGCCGGTAAAGGTAGGACGTGGAGTGGACGTCGCGATCCAGGTTTCGTCGTCCGCGAGGCTCGACGGACGGGGTTCTTCGGGCGAGTTTTTATTTCTTTTGACGTGCACGCGTGGCGAGAAACTCGTTTTTCGGGGTAGCGGCAGCGAACGGCGATTCACCTACTTCCCTCCACTTTGGCCGGCGCTTCCCCCCCCCTTCCCCCCCTCCGCTGTTGCTAGCGCGGCGCGCCGCCATGTTTCGCTGCTGCCACTCGACTCGCTGCTGCACGGGCGTCGAGGGGAAGCGAACGTTGGCCGCCTTTTCTTTCTTTCGCGGACCGAAATTGGGCCGCGTCGAGTGGCTTCCTTTCGCTGGGCTCCTCGCTCGGACGGAGGTGAACCACGACGTCGTGTCCGCCGCCGCTCTCCGGCCGTCCTTCGTCCTTGAAGGACGCGTAGCTTGTTTGTCCGCCGCCGTCCGCGGTGTTCTGTATCTCCAGCGCGGGTCCCGCACCAGCCCGGGGTCCCGAACGGGACGCCGTCTCTCTCCCGTCGGCCTGCGAGGAAGAGAGAAGACGACCCTGCCGTGTCTCCGACGGGGCACGTGCTGCGAGCTCCCCCCCCCCCCCCCCCCCTCCTACCCCGCGCGCGATGAAACAGTTATGCGTACAAAAAAAGGCGACAGGAGGGGGGAATTCCGGGCATCGATTTTTCCGAAAAGCAGGTGCCGTTTTCTGAGGCAGGGCGCGCGCTCCCGGCCTGTACGAGATAGCCCGTCGGACGGCTTCTCCATTTTTATCTGTTTGGTGTTTCCTCGGTTCGGAATGATCGGTCGCCGTGCGTGGACGCTGCGTTCCCGTTAACCTTGAGACGGAGACCCGCCGGGACCGCGTCGCCAGCAGCTTTCTTGTGCGACAAACAAAGCCCTCTTCTGTTTCATGCGTAGCGTGCCATGTGTCTTTTTAGGTTGTCGATTGGAGGCAATTCACGATGCAGTGCCGATTGTTTCGTGAAAGCACTTGTCTTGATGACTTTTAGCTTTGACAGCGTTGTTTACGCCGAATGTGGGAGGGAGTGTGGGCCGTAACCCGCTGCCTGGTTGGCGGTTCCAGCCAACGATCAAGTCGAGAAAGTCTGATCCTGACGTCTGCCCTTAAGCCAGGCTTAGCAGCCGTGAAGGCGACGTTTTTTTCCCTCTACGTTCGCTAAAACCAACCCCCGCGTTGAGTAATGCCTGGGTACACTAAGCCGATTTCTGCTGCACGCTCTCTTATTCTTTAGTAGCGGTGAATCATGTCGTCGCTTTCTTTTTTTTTTTTTTTTTCTTTGGCACGAAGGCCGATGTAAGTTTGAAGGGACAAGAGATGTAGCAAAAAGAAACATGTTTTCGCCTCGCGAGTTGATGATGGTAGTAGCGGCGGCGCTGGTCTTTGTTTTGCGTTCGTTTCTTTTTTTTTTTTTTTTCTCGTCTCGGTTGGAGGAGGAAATTTGGGTGCTTGCCAGCAGCTCTTATTTTCTCTGGCGCGGCCGCAGTGATTGTTTTTTCTTTTTACTGTGTTGTATCTTTTTTTTCCGTTGCGTAATTCCTGTCCGTCTGCTTGTGTTTCTTCCTACGTCCCCTCCCCCTTTTCCTCGTATTTTTCTTCTCTACGTTTTCGTTACTTGGGAGTCAAACGGACTCACCGTAATGGCACCAAGAGCAAACAAAACCAAAAAACTCCTTTTGACAGGCACGTACGGGGAGCGCTTCCTTCGTGGCACGCATCGCAGTTATAGCACTACTTTATTCTAGACGAGTCGAGAGCGAGAGAGAATGCGTAGTAAGAACAGGCGACGAGGGAGAGAGGCGAAGCTGTAATCGTCATTGTTACTTCCGTGGGCTGGTCGACCGTGATGGCAGCGCGGCACAGCACAACCTCGTCTGCTACGAGAGAGAGAGGGGGGAGAGAAAGGCTGAAAGCCTGCCGGCAGCAGCGGCACCGCTCTCCTCCCTTTTTCCTTCTTTTTCATTCCGGGCTTGTTATCTCGTTTTGCTTCTTTTCCTGAGTTACCGCTGGCTCTTCGGTTTTTTCTTTTACGTTTTTGTGCCTTTGCACCTTCCTCTTTCAGTCGGTCTGTTTTTGATTCGTTTTTCTTTCGTGGGGCCGTCTGCTGATGGTTTGTTTGCCTTTTGCGTGTTTTTTTGTGTCTGTGCGCTGCTATGTCGATCTTCGTTTTTAGTTGCAAGCTCGCTTCCCCTTTCATTTCTTCGAAGCTTTTCTTTTCGGTTTGTTGGTTTTTCTTTCCCTCGGGAAATGGGGGGGCTCTTTCTTTCTTTCTTTGCGTGGGTTTTCTTTACCCCGTTTCATTTCTGTCCCCCTTCTGGGTTCTTTCTTTAGCCTGGGTATTTCTTCCTCTTTATCGTTTTCTTTTTCCTTTCGTTCCTTCTTCCTGAACCAGTCAACCGGCTCGCATCTTTCCTTCTGTCTCTGATTACTTGAGTTCGCACCGTCGTTTGTTCGGTCGGTCTCTCGCTGATGCTTTTGTTTTGTTTGACTTTCTTTTTTTTGTTGGCTGGAACGTTTGCTTGTTTATATTTGCTGGCTAGTCGCTTTTGCGGGCGTCTTTTTATTTTTTTATTTTATTTGGTCTCTGTTGCGGGCGCTTTAATTTTTTGTTACTTGTTTACGCGCGCTGCGCGCTGTTTTTTTTTCTTCTTCAGCTGCCGTCTTGCATAAAGCGTACCGATATATGGGAGGGGGGGACTCTCAAGGTCATCGCCTTTGTGGGCGGAGCTTGGGCGAAGGCATGAGTTGCGTCGGCGCATTTAAATTGCCTCGGCGGCCGCACGCTCTCGTTCGGGGCGCTCTGCGTGCGTGTGTAGCGAGGAAAAGATAGTACAAAAGGAAAGAAAATAAAAACGAGAGCCGAACGTTATAAATGAGGGTGGAAAGGGCGAGGACTGTTGCCGAAAGGAAGGGCAGGAAGGGAAGCACGTTCCGTTCTTTTGATTACTTTATGCCGTGGCTGGCGCTTGTCGTTTATAGCCACGTTTGTTGCTTTGTGTATTTCGTGTTGGCGGCGCTCTGACGTGCTCTTTTTGGAGGGGGGGGAGGCTTTCGTTGCATGTTTTTATTTTCTGGACGGGAAGAACTGGTTGGCTGCATGTTGAGATTTTTCTTCTTTATTTATGGCGCTTTCTTTTGTGTGCTGTTTGCGACGAAGGCTTTGGGGCATCGTAGAGCTGCGTGGATGGAAAGGGCTCGTTTTATTTGCGTCCTTTTAAATGACGGTCGTGTGGAGCGCTTGGTGTGCGCTAGTTTTTTTTTTTTTTCTTTTCGTGTTCTTTTTGCTTATCTGTTTTCTGGAAAGTTGCGTGTGTTTCATAGGGTCTCCTTTTTATTTCTCTTTCGGTTTTATTTTTGTTAGTTTTTTTCTTTTTCTTATGCGTGTTTGTCGTTGGAACGACCTCCCGAGGGAGTTAGGCCTAATCTCGTCGCAAAGAGCGTGGTTCGGGCGTTTCCGAGTCGGCCCGTGAGTCGACGTGGCCTTGAGTTTGCGCGCTTGGCCACTGGTTTAGTTGGTTGTGGTTTTATTTTTTTGTGTGCCGTCATTTTTTTATAAATATTTTGAAGCGAGAGACGGCGGTGGTGGTAGTGCCTTTTACGGCTAAATTCACGACTGTTCCTTTATTTGTATTTTTTCACATCTTCAGAACGTTGTGTACGATCACAGATTTTTTAGATTTTTTTTATTTTTTTGGAAAGGGGGCGGGGGATGGCGGTGATGGCGTGACTATGAAACAGGTGATAGTAGGTTTTGAGCGTACCCCGTTGAACAACTTCGTCGCGGTCCGGAATATTTCGGGCTGTTTGTCGACCCGTGTTTCTTTTTTTTTTTTTTTTAAGGCTAATTAAAAGTAGATGTTAGTCTTTTTTTTTTTGTCTTTTGCTTTTGTGCGCTGTTATCGGCTCTTTGTCTCTTATCGGTTCTTGCGCCTGGCCATTTAAGGTTTAGAACGTGGCGATAATGCTTGTCACGCGCGGACGAGCACGTAGCTGCGTTGTCAGCGTTCTGCATGGATAACAGATAAGAAGCTCGCGGGTGCTTTTGGAGAGGGCGGACGTAGCAAAGATGTTATCAAATGTTATCATCGCTTGGTCTGTGCTCGGGTCACTTCGAACCCTAATCGGGAGTTATCAGTGACCTTACCGCTCAAAAGCATTTTCTTTTTGTGTGTGTGTGGTACGCCGTGATTTGATATCAGCGGAAATGCCGACTGTGGGCAACACTTTTTATAACGAAAGGCGGCCGCAGTGCCGAGTTTTCGGCGTCCCCTAAAATGTCCCTACAACGTGGTGCACGAAAAAAAAGAAGCGCCTGTTAGCGAGAAAAGACTTTTTTTTTTTTTTTCTTGCCTACACTTTCTTTTTTATTGCGCTGAAATAAATGTAGCAGAAGCCCACAGAATATTATTTCTTGGCTGAAGTGAGTGTCAGCCCACGGAGACGTTTTTTTTTGTTTTTTTTTTTTATCGCATCTTTTCCAGGCGGCGTCACGTCTTAGCACTTTCTCATTCTGTCGCTACCGCTAGCGTCACGTTGTCACGGATTTTTCGGCTTTTTTAGGATGCGTAGATTATTCACACGGTCCG